GACAGGGATCCAAAATGCCTAGGCTACATGAGGAAGATGATTCACTCTGGTCAAGTGACTTAAAGATTCTTGAATTAATTAATTAATTAAGATGCTTTTCAACTGATTTCAGCCCTTCTCCTTTCTGTCTGCATGGTGTAGGTAATCAAGAGAAGCATCATCTCGCCTAACATTAGCCATATGAAACCTCAACATTTAGTATTGCCAGACATATAGGTTGTCTCTTGCAGTCAACAGGAGCAGCAGGAGAGGCATATCCCATATAATCTGGAGGTGTTTCTCTAGGCTTCGAATCATCCCTGAAGATGCTTTGGTTTCCCCCCTGCTAATAGAGAGGAACCCACTTGGAATTTTAACTACAAGTGGACCAAAACTGCTCATTCACAAACATAGGGATAAAAATTTCAGATGCATCTAAATTACCTTTGTTTCTGCTAATATTGCAGAGCTACTGGAGCTCCTAACAGATATGGTTCTATATCTAAAGAACAAATGCTTGTCTAGATTTACAATCTGTTTAACCTAGAGGAACCCACATTATTCTTATACCATCATTAGCATTCAAAATCTGGCCTAATGTCTTTAAACAAGCCCTTTTCTGAATAAGCAGGACCCTTAGATTCCATGGGTGTTATTATGGATGTTGTAGATCATCGTCCTTCATGAAGATGAAGTCTTTATTTTGTTTTTGGTTTTTCCATGCTTTCTGTCCTTTTAAATTTCCAAGTTCATGCTCTTCTCTCAGACAAATGTTTGCTTTCAATTTAAAATATATATGTCTCTGTGTGCTGTATTTCAGCTCAACAAATACGTAAATGAATAACTTTTTGTTACCTTTTGTCTTTCTGTTTCTTGGTTGTGTGCCCAGAGTTATTCTGTCATTTGATCCTAGTTATATCCAAGCTATCTTGAGAACTTACACACACAGAACATGGTTCATATGATTTCTGGCCCCTGACTCATGGCCTTTTCACAAGTTTAGTATAACAGAAAAGGCTTAGCTGTATCATCCTATTCTTTTTTATGACTCATCTGTGGAGAGTTTTGGAAATACCATCCTCTCTCCATACCTTCCCTTTGGAACATACTGACTAATCCTTTGTGGTGTTACCTGTCTTCATCAAAACAGAGGCAAATGAGTTAAATCCACTGGATTTGTGTCATTTACTGGTAACTCCCACTTCCTAATGGTTCAGGATGAAGCAGGACCCAGCTATTACCACTTCCCTCCTCTTCCAGTTCTGGCACACACTCAGAGAAAAGGGAAGAGGTCACCATTAAGTATCATGAGAATGAGGTGTTTGAGCAAGGGATTAAGCAGAATACTGCAGGCAACTCCCTTGATGTCACCTGCAAGCTGTTCCAGAAAAAGCTCTCAGAGAAAAAGCTGTATTAGCTTGATCTTTGGATTCCCTGTAATCCACATCCTGCTCACCTTCTACCTAGGAAGGCTGTGGGAGTAGGACTGAAAACACACAGACCCACCTGGCACTTTTGGACTTTGGGGGCCCTCATGGGCTATGCAAGGAGATCTCAAACACTCCTGACTGCTTGCTGGCTTGTTGGTGACTCTATGGACCCATTCCGAAAAAGGAAATTCCTAAATAGGACATGGATATGAACTCAGGAATCAGTTATCCTGCTGCCTTTGGTCTTTGGTTAGTGAGATCTACAACTGAGACTCCTTCCACTTGATATAGATACCTAACAGTTAAGCATCCAGTCTAAATACCTTGTCTACCTCTAGCTAGTGGAGAGAGGCATTTCCAGTGCGTTAGTCATCCTATTATATGTCTTAAGATAGGATAATATGCCCTGTGAAGGCATACTATGGAACCTATAGGGATAGGGAACCTGAGTGCTTTAGATTTGTTTACCTACATTTCCATAGCAAAAGTTAGGTGAGATGAGGCCCTGTGTTTTGTTCATGCAAAAAATATCTATAAAGAGAAGATGAAAACAAAGAAAAATGCAGAATAACACTCATATCCCCCCCATAAAAGTTTATTTTTTTGAAAATTTTCTCTTTCTTAAGTCAGCATTCTTTTCCTTAATTTCTTTTCTTTTTTTTTCCTGTGTTGCTTTCGAAAATGGATATAAAGCCCCCCAAAAAAGTTTAATTTTTTGAAAAATTTCTCTTTCTTAAGTCAGAATTCTTTTCCTTAATTTCTTTTTTTTTCTGTGTTGCTTTCGAAAATGGATATAAAACTGAACAAAACAGAGGGAGAGAGTAGAATATACAAGGAGCAAAGACATTACCACTTTCATTGAGAACACAAAAATGAGCCAGACCCCTTGTTTATTTATTATTAATTCTCATTTAAAGAGAAACAAAGCAGATGAGGTTTGCACTGTTATGCAGATTTGTTCACTGAGAGCCCTTGACCTGCTCTGGTGCAAAGTAAGCTCTGTCCAAATGCAAAGGCAGGTATTCCAAAGGCAGATTTGCCAGCAGAGTTTCTCATTTACATGGAATTATGCCAAGTATTTGCACCACTGATATCTCAAAAAAAGGGAAAAGTGAGCCAGGGCTCTCGCTCCATGTGACTGTCAGGATGCTTGACATCCATTTTGCTCATGGACAAACAGAAGGCAGAAATCAGGACCAAATTACTTCATTTCCATAGATGAATGTTGATTTTACATCTGATTTTAAGAGTTCATCCTTTGTGTTTGCCAACTCCAAGCCGTGCAATCAACTGGTGAGACAGGTGGCTTTCCAGATATAGGGCTTACTTAAAGCTTGGTTTTACTTTAGACGTTTGAGATTTTTTTTGTAACTAAACTATCAAAAGGCATTTGCCCTGCTCCTCTGAAGGATGAGCACTACAAGGGCACGAAGATTCCTTAGCTGAACCTCCCCACCATGCTCATGAGTTGCGCAGGGCATCACCAGGTTGTGTAGACCCACTAGTACTACACATTGCTGTGGTCTGCCAGGAGAGATTCAGGTGGAAAACTTGTTGGCAACTGATGGTTGTGGAGTTTTTACATCTCCAGTTACTAAACACAGTTTCTAAGGAATATCTACAAGAGTAAATGAGAAAATAGTTACAAGAGTTAGTGAGATATTTGTCCCAAAGCTTGACAGCTGTACGTTTATTATGAGAAAACAAGCAGATTTTGCAAATTCAAATTAACAAGAATACATAATGTTATTAAGGGAGGACTTATGTGTTCTATTTATTAGAAATAAGGATCTGCACACTTCACAGAATCACAGAATGGTTGAGCAATGTGAAGTTAGCAATGGGAAGAGAAGGAAAATGGGGGCTTTCAGGAAATCAAGGATGCAGTAAGCTACATGCTGGACATGTGGTGGTAATAATTGAAGACAAAAATAATCTGAAAAAGAGCAAATAAAGAAACTGAAGTCTGTCATGAAACAGGATGACACTATGTCATGTTTTGATTTTTTTTTCAATATACCATGTTGGCAGGAAGTGTACAAAAAAAAGATTTTTATGACACTGTGACTGAGGCAGATAGGGCAAATTCTAGAAATAACTTTGTTATGACTTATCATACCAGTTTCTCCCAGATTTAGCCCCTTCTACTTCCAGTTAAGCATGATTTGTAAGTTACTCGGAAGTCTCAGGTGTTTCCCAGTATCCGCAGAGCAGAGAGAACTGGAGATGTTCCAGTGGGTTCCACAGAATCTCAAGAAAAGTAAATGGTAAAAACTGCTATTGCTTTAATAACTTCTAGTTAAAAAAATAACTTCTAGGCTGTGGAATATGAGGATAGAGAAGCAGGAGAGATTGCTACGCAAACAGACCTTCCCCGGTCTTTTAGAAGATATTACCCGAAAAGGCAAAAGAAGCAAGAGGGAAATTAAGGAGAATGTCCCTTAGCTATGGCTGACCTCAGATCCCTTGGTATGAGTTCAGGCTCTCTTTAAAAGCCAATAAGAAGTTTTCTCCCAGAAGGTTCAAAGAGCTAAGACCTCAACTATGACAAACTTTCAGACATATTTCTGAGCTTGATATGGGTATTGGCAACAGCCGGGAGACAAAAAAGAAATTGAGAAAAACCTTCTTAGAGTTAGAGATATACAGCAGATTGCTTCAAACACAATTATCTCTCCTTGTTTATTCCATTCATCTGCACATTTAACTCTTACTCAAATCAAAAGAGAATCTTCTGTTTATATCTCACTTCCACTGACTCCTTACTTCTCTCCCATTGTGCCTGAATAAATCATTTAGTGACTCTACTAGGCCCTATACTGATTGCTATAATCTAATCCTAAAAGTCATTTCAATTCATATATATTCCACATCACTCCTGAATAAGTTTATACATCAAGAAATTGAATTTTAAGTTTTTCAGCTTTTGTATTCATATTCCAAAAACTCTGTCCCATTTAATAATTATATATGCAGTGTTTTCCTGTAGAAGACTTTCCTCTCCATTCCCTTCTATTCATACAGGCAGGTTAAAGAGGTGCCCCTTGTACTTGGAGATGTAAGCAGATGTAGGTAGAATAGATGTGGTAGTCTTTCCCTTGTTTGGAAAATCATTGCACCTTGATCAAGTGATCCCAGGAAAATATCTCTTCATTTTCCTTGAGGAATAGTGATCAAGAAAAGTATTCAGTGCAGAGCTTGAGTTAGATCCATTATATAGGGCTATGAGGATCTTGGAGACAGAGGAAGATGCCATGGATTGGAGTGTGTGTTTGTGCAGAAAAGCAAAGGGAGCAAAGGAGAGAGGAGAAGAGCTCATGGAAGGTGCAGCTGACTAATACCATTGAGTGATAGTGGAGGGATTCAGGTCCACTGGGACAGATAGCAGATAGAGCCACCATCATGGTAATGATAAAACAGGAGAAGAGGATGAGAGAGGAAGAATAAGAGGAATGAACAGAGGTTCTACAGCTTCTATCTGCACCATCTCAAAAGGTTATTAGAGTATATAGGCACATTGGACACAACTGTGCTGTAACATTCAGCTCTGCTCAGACTTACTCAAAAGCCAGCAGGTTCATGCACCGTCCCATGGAAGTGCAGACGCATGATGAAGGTGAGTTTAAGAAGGATAAATAAACCTCACATAGCTCTGCATCTGCTCAGATGTGTTTGTAACAGGCAAGATTTGTGCGTGTTACTCTATAGAACCAGTGTAATGTGCAGAAGTGTGCAAATTCAAAAATAATTCCTATTTAAACAAAAAAACAAAGTAAAAGCAGGAATATTTGGACATTCCCTTCTAGAGTTTTGCCGCTTGAGTCCTTTTTTATTATTATTGTTCGATTGGACTTTTTAGGCTGCCACACTTCTTTTTAAGCAAAAAAATGACTCAGAACTTGATAAAAAGTTTTTGGCCAGTGCGGTTGGTTTTGGCCAGTTTTTGGGGAGAGAGGTTTCTTTCCCCCTGCTTTTGCTACACAGAGCAGCCAGTTTTGAAGCATACTGGAAGGGAGGGCACGCCACTTCAGATGATAGGTGTGAGCCACATGCCGGATTTTGTATGGTCGCACAAGCTAATCAGGAGGAGAGTCTGAAACATTCAACTAATTGCTTACAACCATCAAGCCCATTTTTGTAATAAGCATGCTATCAAATCGTGGAGATTAGCAAATTAGCTAAGGCTTTGTGAACTCTAAAGAAGCATTTGCTTAAAACATGAGCAGCTGCTGGGCCAGATGGCAAAGTCCTGCCCCGTAGCAGGCACGTTACCAGGAAGACGGATAAGTGCATGGAGAAAGTGCAGTCTCTCCTCACGCCTTGTCTATGTGACTGTTAGTCATTGTGGCACGTTGAGCTTCAAGGAACACAGGCATGAGTAAGAACCATATATAAAAGCCAGCAGTTCACGTTGACTTGGATGGTCCATCCCATCACCGCTGCTGATTAACTTTGCAAAGTTAATTTAGTTTAGCGTGCTGTAGACTGGCTGAATTTGGCCGTAGGAGAGCTCTGCTTCGAGCTGATCAATTGACTCCTTTAACACTTCTGCAATGGCAAGGTCAGGACATCTGAGAAGAGGCAACTCTCATAGCAGTGGCTGCACCAAGAATTGTGATGCTTTATGAAACACTTGCAGCCTGTCGTGCTATGCTCGAGCCTTAAAACTTCCCACAAACTGGTTATTCAGGCCCGCTGCTTCACCCTTTGCCTTTCAATAGCATTTTGTTCCCTGACTGTCATAAACACTGATATAAAGAGCCAAAGGTCTAGCCTTGTATTTACACCAGATACTTCCTTCTGTTAACAGTGGCTTTCACGTCATTAGCTTAGTTTTGGAAAGCTGACTGCTAACTTTCCCATCCTGCTTCTCCAGCAGCAGCTATGGTTCCCTTAGCTTGTATAGGGATTACCTCTGCACAGTATATTTGCCATTTGCATAGAGGACAAACTTTTCTGTTTAGATTTATGCACTGCTATCTCGCTGCCTTTGTAAGTCCATCTCCCCATGACTGGAAGGAAATCAGTATGAACAAGTCATCACCTTGTTCTCTTAAAAACTTTATATTCCTTTGTTCTGACATCCACTAAGAGAAAAGTCCATGGTGAAGGAGCTGGCACATTGAGAATTCCCTGGTTGCTCACTGGTCTGCTTTGCTGAAAAATCATGGAGTTTTAATTGATTTAGCTTTGACCTGATAGGAAAAGGGCAAGTTGAAGAAACTCTGAGATCTTCCACAAGCTGAAGATAGTGTTCCCCCAGTACAGAAATACCAAAAAGAGCTGCCTTCTCTGATACTGCCTGGTTTTGCAGGCTTCATTAGTGCATCTTGTTAGCGTATTCATACTTCATTAATGTATCATTCTGGATACAATTTGTATTACACCAGCAGCATTAATGGGAAACCATTCTGGCAAATATCATGAAACACTTCCAATACTTTGCTGAAGAGCAAACCAGTGAGAGAAGAGCAGACATTATTACTAAAGCCATACATAGAAATGGGAAATTGCAACCCTGAGAGATCAAACGAACTGGTTATAGCTCCACTGAAGATCTGTAACTAAGCTGAGATTTGAGCCTATAATATAAAAATCTCAGTTTAATACTTCAGTCTGAAATTGAGGAACTGTCCATTAGGTGATGCTCAGAATAAGAATTAAGCCTATAAGGTAGTTCTCCAGGAATCAACCAAATGTCAAACAGTAATTAGAAATGTTGTCCATGCTGAGGTGGGAGTGTTATGCATCACTTGAGCCAATATTGTAGTGTAGTAAAATCTGTATCTTCTAAGTTTGTGGTGTTTTACCTTTACCAGGCATCCAGTGCAGAACTACTATAAGGAAGATTTGTTGTATCAGACCCCATGTTTGAATTTATGCCTCAAAAAGTAACTTGAGCCTCAAAAAGTGGTAGAAGAACTTCTGTGGGAAGTGAGATTCTCTAAAATCAGGAAGATTTTTTTAATTTCCTGCATTTCTAGCAAAGCATGAACAATTGCATTGTGCTGGACTCCAGGGTTTGTAAGGGCTACTAAAAACACTTATGCTTTTTGTTTTGTTTTAAATCACCAAAGCGATAAAAATTAACTTTGCTTTATGTATTCTTCTCGGAGAGCTGCTTTTTAGTCTGCTTCCCCTGAAGTGGAAGCGATGCGTTGTGACCTCCTGAGTGGAAGATCTCAGTGGAGGATTGATGGAAGATTACCTCTGTGTGCAAGCACACAGCAGTAGTCTCTGGGAAAGGAAAAACACTTTGGATAGGATTGCCAGATTTGCTGTCTTGCTTGTATGTTTTAGTTTATTCGCTTATGTAGTATAGCATTTGACCTGGACACCAAGTATCATCCCAGTGATGCTGTATCATGTTCCTCTACCATAGTAGCATTAAGACAGGACACCATCTCAGTGATGCTGTATCATGTTCCTTTCCTCTACCATAGTAGCATTAAGACAGCTTTGGAAAATACTCAGAGAACCTTGGGAAGAATTACAAAAAAAAACAAACAGTGATGGGAAAGGACATTTTTTTAAAAAAAAGAAGAAATATGAGGAAATGAATGAAACTGAAACAAGCACCCATTTGTTCGCTGAGGGTGAAAAGCAAGGAATCAAAACCACCATGAAATCTAAAAGCATCCTCAAACAGAAAGGAGGAGTCTTCAGCAG